GGGGTCGGTGAATTGGTACCAGACTCGTCTGGGAGGATAAAAGCACTGACTTGTACATCGGCTGGCCACCGCAAGTCATTGTATAGGCCACATACGCACTCATCACGCCACTACGATTCTGAATGGAAGTCGAGTGCGGGGGCGCATCCCTCAGACGGGATTGATTGACGCCAAAAAATTTATCCTTTTTATTTATTTTACTACAATCAGGTTGAACTGAAGACTAGCGAAAAGCTCAAATCAATTAATTCCGATATATATATTGAACTCTTTATTTTATTTTAAATTTTGATTTTTGCTACCATTTTAAGGGAATTTAAAGATCGAGTGCCCAAGCTTATAAGGTGTTGACTGCAAACACAACAATATTATAGATTGAACTTATTTAAAAAGCTTTTCCATCGGTGAAGGATATTAATTATAGTTAAGCAAAACATGAGGAAATTTTTTATTACTCATTATTATTGCACCACGGGTATCCACGTAATGGTCATGATATAGAAATAGAAATAAAAAGAGTTTGCACATTTAAGGGAAATCTGGATGACTACGAACAAATTAATCTTGCTTAAACAGTGCACGCTTAGCGCCAGAAGAAAAGGAGAAAGATGCCAAGTTAGCAAGCGACGCAAATTGGGAAAAATGGAAATCTCAATGAAAAAAAGATGAATGAAAATGATGAGGATAACCAGCCCGAGGTGCAACATGCGGGCGAGTGTCAATGTACCTAATTGACCTGAACACGTACCCATCACGCTGGCTTGGTGGTGCTCCANGCAGCGCATAAGGCGAGGCATGCATCACAATAGCAAGAGACAAGCTTTCATAAGTAAGGACAGTAGATAAAAAAGAATGAAGGGAGAGCGTTCTCTTAAGACTAGCGGTCTGCGCATTAAAGTTAAACACTCAAAGTCAGTAATCCGATGCAACTTCATAAAATCTAAATTCAGCGGTGCTCTCTTGAACAGACCCTTTCCAGCAGGAGAATATCCAGGAGCAACTTATAAAATCAGGCGGGGTGAGTTTCTTCTTTAATTGCTTACTTAATTAGTTGTTATTTTTCTTACATCCATTGCTAGGAACACGCTATATGTTTATGGTGAATGTTAGGAATCTTGGGTTAACTTGATTACCTGTGTTTTGTTTCAATACACACCAATATTGCATGTGGAATCCCCACTTAATGCTGAAATTCAGGCGCCATGAGTTGCTTTCGAATAATAATGTTCAAATTCTTCTCTGTATTCGATTAGCAAAGGCGTAATAAGAGCATGGAGATCGTACTCACCGGAAGCCACACCCAGAGGTGGCCCTATTTGAAGACCTATAAGAGGCTGCACAAATCGCAATGGAGCTCACATGTTTGAAATTCAATTAGTCTTGATCCATAGCGACAGGGAAGGCATTTTTTTGCCATAATGTGCTTTGTAGTTAGCTCTACACAATAGCACACAATTCACAGCTCTACTGAATACTCCTTGCCATTGCTGTTGTCATACCCACTCGTACGCTTTAACTACTTTACTTTCTTGTAGGCTCAAATTTCCTTTTGTATAATGCGCCAATTTGCACTCTCCTCACTGTTTCACCCGCTTAAATCACTTATCTCACTGTTATTGTGGAATGCGCCTCTGGTCATCCTTCTGCCTTTCCTTTCCTGAACTTATAATCGTAGCGAAACCAATGATAAGTTCCATAGAGTCCAACACGATAAATGGATTCTCAGTCATCACGACCCATGAATTTGCTCTGCTTGATTGGATGTACCAAGGCTGTGAAGAACTTCTTTTCATGAACGAACTCTCACATATCTTCGATTTTTTCATGCCTACCAATACAAACTTAATTAGAAATACCATAAAAACTCTATTTCAAAACTCTGGGCTTTATGAGGGCCTTCCATGCTCTATGACAGGGTTCCCGCTTCTGGATTGTACATTTCACTTCTCCAAAACGCTCAGATTGAAATTTTCATTCCATTAGCAAGCACATGGAATGTCCCTTCATCCGTCTCAACTTTGAAGAAGGGTTCTTATGTGAAGACGCGTGCCAAACTAGTTTTACGACCCATTTCATGACGAACATGAATCGTAAGCTCCCCATCAGATTTCAAGCTATTAACAAAACTTATGGCTTGAAATCTAATTGTTTATCTCCCAACTTCTTCATTTGAGACTTTTTCTAAAGAAATAGGCATGACGGTTGGAATGAAAATGGAGACAAGGATATCAAGCGCTTCATAGATGCCCATTGTATATATAACCGGATAATAATTGGCATTTCGTAGTTCTTCTCATACCTTCTCGTTGATGTTCCCCTGAACAACGGTATCGCCTATTCGATGAAAGGGTTTGCACAGAGGGGGCATCGTTGAATTGGAGAGAATGGCAGCAGCACAGCTCTTCCCTTGATTCTCCTTGAATTTGCAATCCCTTTATCACGAGGACCCCAAGCCTACCAGAAGGATGGGAATTATAACGGCATTGTGGATTAAACCACTTTTGCGAGGGTGGCCCTCACCACTCGAACAAGCAAGGCCCT